CCCCGCCGCTCCGCGTGACTCGATTGCTCTTTGCGATTAATTTTGAACGGCGCCGCGCCGTTCGCGTGAATCAAACACTGCGTTCTTCGCCCGGCTCCGACCCCCCGCAGATTTCGAACTGCACATCAACCGCCATCGTTTCCGTTTCGCGTAAATCGCGAAACGTATAAAGCGATTGCTTTGTTTGCCGGTTATTGAGGTCGCTGTTACTGCGGCGAATCCCGGCTAGCCGGATACTTGCGCCGGGAGAGAAAGGGCAGGGATTGCCGGGGTTTTAGAAACGAGAATAGAGAAAAATACGGCGACGGGGTATTAATCGTCAGGATTTTATCTATCGCCCACGCTGCAGAACCGTCGCGGCCCGGATCCGAGGAAATATGGGGTTTTCATGGTACTCCCCGGCGTGAAAACTGGCTGCGAATCGCAGACATTCGTTCGTTTGTTTCATTGGTCGATCCGTTACCAGCTTGGCAACGTTTCCGTCCCGGCTATATAGCCAATGCTTCGATCGCTCATTTGCATCGGTCCTCCGAATTTCCAATTTGTTCGCTCGTACGGGAATTCGCAGAAATATCAAATTCCCAGATGCCGTCGATACCGGGGATACGAGCCCCGACGTCCCGGAGCTCTCAGGGAAATTCGCGACTCCCCGATACGTATCTGTACCTGTCCCTCCCTGTAACGGCGAGATATTTATTGCCAATTAGTACTGCAAATTGTCCTCGCGCGATATATCGACTTTAATAAACCCTGGAGTCAGACCGGTGAGCAACTTCCATCCCGGTACCGGGTTTTAATCCAACCCGGCGCGACGCGACGATGATATAACCGGATTTATCAAGCTCTTCCTATATCTGATATTAAATTTGCGGATTCGGTGATCGACGGCGGTGCGTCCTTCCGTAACAGCTGCGTTGGCAATCGTCGGATTCCGATGATTCCTCAAAGGATCAGGCGAGAATAATTGGAAAATCGTTCAACGAAAATGATTTCACGCTACTCAGAGCTCGCTGATTATGTTAAACAGCGAGAATGAAATTTAACGCGAGAGACGTGACACGCGTGTAATAAATTCTCTTCAGCTTCCGTCGACAGATTCTCTATTCTCATTTTTTGTAACGCAAAGCACGTGCGTTCCTTTTATCTCGTAAGTTTCGTAAACCAAAAGGCTATCTTTGTTGTCAGCTGGCTTTATCGAAACGTTTAAACGTCGCGACGGTGACGACGTCAAGTGACGAGAGGAAAAAAAAAACGTGACGTCGTGTCAGGACGCCCGGAGGTAGCAGACGATTGCGAACGAGGATCCTGAGGTAACGTCGACGATGAATAAAGCACTCGAGAATTGAAATTTCAAAGCTCTTCTTCTACAAATTCTACCCTCCGCGATCATTATTATTGGGACTATGATAAAATACAGACTGGATCCACAGGAATCATCGGTTCTGTATTGGAAAAATTGGAATCCCGTCCGTTTTCGATTTTATGCAAGTCGGACAGGTAACATCGGGTCACGCAAAGTGAAGAGATGAACCTAGTCAGGTTTATGAATGAAGCTTACTTGAAGCGGCTCAGAGCGCATTCGAAATTGGAAGCCCGGGGCTAAATAGAACCGTTTAATCGCGGGGATTATTCTCTGTCATATTTTACTTTGGGTTTTGTGAAAGATCTGCGAACGAATTTCGTGGCTCGAAATAAGCTGGGTCGAACCGCTTTTAAAACGTGCTTTCAAGAGTCAGTCGATAGGGAGATGGGGAGCAACAAGACGAGTACCCATCAATTTGGCTATCAGCTTTTCTTTCACGATCCTACTCCCGAATTTTACGAGTTTGTCCAGTGCCGTATAACGAATCGAGGGTGAGAATCGGGAGAGTTATTGAGTGAAAGGGTCCCAGGGAAAATACCGAAATCCTCGTCCTATTGATAGAGACCGAACGCTTATTTCACTCCAAGACGAGGCCAATTATGCTGTTTGAGGATGAGTCGATAATTTGCAACGATGTCACCACAAATGGACGCTGGGTATTTTTTTTAAAGGGAGAAAAAGTCGTTCTCCTTTCGTTTGTCGTTGTTAACGTAACGGACGTACCGCAAGGAAAACAAAGGGAATCTTAGATGGGTGGCTCGCGAGCCAATAACGTGCTTTACAGAAAGCGGATTTTAACAGTGCTCGCGTGCGGCACGCCTCGAAAGCAACGGATTTTAGCGCAGCTCTCGTCGAGATATCGAAAAGGCGATGAGTTCTCGCTCTTCGAATTGTTCGAGGATTTGTGACGAGTGAATTGATTTCGCCGTTGTAAGGAAATGCCGGCCACCTCCGGCCGGTAATTTGAACTCGCTTTTTCGACGTTCCCGAGGAACAAACGCTGCGTCGGCTGATCGAAACGGTAATTACTCGCGGAAATTGCTACAGTTATTTTTTGCATAACGTTTGCAAGAATTTTTATCGGAAATTGCGTCTCGTATTGATATGTTATGACGTATATTGAAAATCATAACGAACACCGTTTTCCTAGCAATTCGTTGGAACTCGTTTCTCGATTCAATCGTACTGATTAAATACAGAGATTTATTTATTTATTTATTATGAATTTCGTCGGAACGAAAAGCTTTGTGCCATTGCAATGGAAATCGCTGAAGGATGAAACGAGACGTGGAATGTTAATGAGCAAACGTGTACCGTCTGCACAGGAATAAACTAGAATGAAAAAATGTCTTGCAGATATAAAAATAAAAATGTTATAGGGCTTGTATCTAGTGACGCGTAATTCGTCAGAGTGCGTATCGTTATTGAAATTGCGGCTCGCGTTCCTCGGCGTCTGTGACTTACGGTTTCCCAGTGGAAATTTACGAGCTACCCTGCCGCGGAACGTGATAATCAATCAAATCGTAATCGCTTGCGATCCGCTGTGAAAAATGTGCGGAGAAAAGCGGCGATCGCTTTGACTGCCGTAGAGTAAATCGTAACCGCACGGGTGAAATCGAATTAACTACACGTACGATGAGCCACTCGTACATTTGTGAATCGCTGTCAAATCTATCGGCATTTATCCTGCGTTGTTCCACGTGAAAATGTGCTAACGAATTTATCCTTTCATGGAACATGAAGATAATTGTTCAAAAGAAGCCGGAATTTATTTAGTGCTTTTGACAGAAGCTATTAAAAAAAGATTACGTTTTATAATAACAAACGGAAACTAATGTGAAACAGAAATATTTTATCCAAACGAAAATTCTGTTGAAATGAATCAGTAACAGTGTAGTTTGTATAATTTTCCAATTATCGTTGTATAAAGCCTGCTCGCGTACGCGGATCTCCCATTCGCAGTTAACTTCTGGCCTCATGTTTACGGCTGAAGCGGAGTTTACGTGCCGGTGACTTCTTCGAGGAAACTTTATTCATTTCTCTTCTCCCCGAATAATCCTGCTTAATTAAATTCTGCTTCCCATTCGCCCCAGTACCGTCTTCGACAGGATTAGCTGTCCCGAGGGGCATCGTGCTCGCCGGTCGAGCTACACATTTCCCGCCCGACTCGCGCGGTTAGGTGCGACCGGACCCAGGGCAGGGAATCTCGGTGAGACCGGTCGAGATTTTCGACGATTCTCCCTGCCGTTTGCTTTTAAAACAAGACGCGAGGATCCCTTTGTCCCGAATGAGATCCTCGGGTTCATTGAGAGCCGGGGTTTACACTTTGCCTCCGACAGAGAACAATGCAAACTGTTCTAGCCACGGTCCGCGTTGAAAGCTCAATTGAACCCCCTTGACACGGGACAATGTAATTGATCGCGCGAAACGTCTAGATTATGCGACGCTGCTTGACGAGGCCTCCATTCAATCGAGAAATTGATTGGCAGCGATTTTTGTTTACCGCAGTGTAACGCCCCCGCGATCGATGCGCATACATACCGGCCAGGCCCGGCGGCCCGAAATTGACAGAAATCACCGGCGACGTCCATTGGCGGAACTCCAATCGACAGGTTGGACAATTAACCCGATTTGACAAACTTCCCGTTAGAAATTCACTGATTACCGCGTTGATCGATCGGTGAATCACCCTATTAAAATCCGATGGTCTGCTCGCTACGCAGCCCGGAAGCTGCAGTTGCAACGCGGAACTCGCTCTGCCCTTTCGTTACGATTGCTTTTAAACAGCAAGACGTTCTTTGATACTCGAATCTGTTGTAGAAGAACCAAAATTGGTGAACAAAGGGAGAACGAATCTAACTCTGTACTCTCTTTAGCAAACCGGACCGGAAACATTGCGGCGAGCTAACTTTTGTCATTTAATTAGAGAAAAGAAACTTCAGTTTTAGACCGGATGGAGTCGAACTCACCTTTTCGGTACGTAAGGACGGTTCACCGGTCTTTGAGACAGGCGCAAGGTATTGGGGAGGGAATTTATATTAGAGAATATACACATTACATCGCAAAGATATCTTAAATTATTTATAAAATTATTATTGAACAATCGTTTGTTATAGAAATTGATAAGAATGAAATTTATAAGAATTATTACAAATACAGTGCTGTTCACTTGCACAGTTACAGTGTTGTTCATAAGTTCTTCCTAAAATATATACATATATATAATTATCACAAACATTTCATCTCTAATCCATTGCAAAGCATTAATTAACTAAATGAACAGTTGAGATTACTCATATGGAGACTGAAAGCCTCTGGCGTTTATAATAATAACGCCAACTCCGTTGATATTTCTCAAGTGTGCACATCAATATAAACTACTGCCATTCACTAATTCATATCGTAAATGAATCGAACTAATCAACAATTTTGACGACAATTTGTTTCTCTGAAATAAAGATACATATTTATAGAAACTTTTAATCGGATCTATTGAAACGAAGGGCACTGTGTATTCTGGTACCGTTTCATGTTTGGTTAAGAGGCTTACAGGATGGTTCGCCGGAATAATAACGACGGATATCTGGTGAACCAGACTGTATAACTTCTCGGAGGAAAAGTATAGTTCAGGACTCACCGAGTATGAGCAGCAGTAGAACTTGTTGCGGGAGCCGAGCCACCATTGTGGGCTCCTCCTCTGGCGCATTTATGAATTGAAATCGGCCGATCCCGCCGTGCACCGGTACCACTATCACGATCACAGCCGCCCCTTGCAACAACATTCATTTAACGTTACTCCCTTCCTTCGTTGTTGCTCGCCGCACGCTCCCTTCGAGCTCAGCTATCACACGCGCGACACACAACCACTGAACGCACAGACATGCATGCGTCCGTTCCTTATGATTACACGTCCCGTTCCGGGTTTTCAGGCAAGATCACGCCCGTGTCCGCGTGTCCTCCGTTTCACTCGGTCTCACTTTCACATATCATGGATTTAACCCACGATCGGCTGTAACATTCAACCGCGAATTGGCAACGAGTTGTGCTCGATCGCGAGGATTTCGTTAAACTCCTCACCTAGTCGTTTCGTAAATCATATTTTTATTAATGCTTATTAATTACTTGGTTAATTAAACGAGCAAACTGATTTTCTAATAATTTTTCGACGGTAAGGAGAATTGTTACTCGAATGACGTCTAAAGCGAAGTCTTGCGTTATCCGAACGCGGTAAATGTTTTTCGAAAGCTGGTAGAAAAGAAAGAAACAACGGTGAGAGAATGATTTACTGGCCGGAGCGGGGGTTGCTGGTTGACAGACCGGCAGTCTATCCCCGATAAAAGAGCGCGCAAACAAAACGGCTAGAGCCGGGGGGTGGCGAGGGGGTCGGTCCGAGGTGTTTTATGTGACGGTCGAGGAGGATCGAGGTGTACACAACGCGAGCGACGATCGAATATTCCTCAATGCGTCGAACAGAAAGCCCGGTCCAGAAAATTGAAAACCGATAAGCTTGATCTTGGATAAACCCGTGAATGGGTTATCTCGCTGGCGCCAGTGATTTTCGCGCCGGCATACCTCGCAGCTCTGGTAGCAATTAGTATTGACGATTTTTATCCCGTTACCGGACAAGCTTTCAAGATAAACGGGCCTTCCCGGCGACGAGTTTTTTTCCCAACGCCGACGAGTAGATCGTTCTACACGTCGATTCACGCTTTTTTCTACCTGAGTCGCAACGAATCAACGCACGAGTTTCGTCCCGCCTACAATCGCTACACTGGTTCTCGCGTTTCGTAAACTGTTTACCCGTTCCGTTGTTAATTTTCCCCGTCGGGAGTGAAAGAACAGCCGTGTTGCCCGTAAACGGGGCGAGAGGAAGCGCGATAAATATCGCCGACTCTGCTTTTCTACCGGGATATGAACTTTTCATTTGCTTGTTTTTCTCCAGCAAGGTTGAATATGCATGACGACGGGAACAGGCCACTTGGCAAAAACAGCCCCATCCCGACGCTCCGTAGGTACGCGGCTGACTTTTTCCACCCCCCCGATCGCCGCACGTTCGCTGATTAGGGTTTAACAGGGGAATCTCGGCGCCCGCGGTAACTGATCTCTCCCCAGTTAATTAAAATCGAAATTGAAATTAAAACCGAAAGATTTTCCAATGAGTGAGGAAAACCGTCTGCACGTGTCCGCAGAATTTATTACACTATTTCGGCTAAGAAAAATCGTCGAATACCGTTTTAAATTATCTTATCAAATCGTTTATACTCTCGGTAGTACGGCGATCTCTCGAGGCTGCTGTTGGCCGGCTGCCGAGATTTTTCGCGTGGATATTTTTGTCGCGACCGTGCATCGGTCTCTGCTCCGGTGAGGAACGTCGAGTAGCATGTAACGAGTAGCTTAACACCGTGAAACGAAAAAAAGAAAAGAAAACCGTACCGATCAGCGTTCCCCTATTTTCGAACTTTCCAAGCGATCGAGCCCGAGTTATGTAATACACTTCTTCGTTCCGCGCGTTTCTCTTGACACGCGGCGGCGTTCTTCTCCCCGTTCGTCCGTGGCTGGTCGAGTTCACACGCGTGCACGTGACGGGTAAATCGGAGCCGGTTCGCGAACTGCCGAGGGAATGGAGCCACGTCAACGAGACGTCGCACGCGGAGTCTCACCGCCGACTGGCGAGCTTCGCTCCGCTCGGTGCGCACCCCTCTTCCTATTCCTCGTACCGCACGAGCACGCGCCCCGTCGAGCGCGTTCCACGCGAGCAATCGCATCCGTTCCGACGACTCTGAATATCGCGCGAAAAGCGTATGATTTCTCACAAAAGGAATTTGCAATGAATATAATTCTCCGAGACGCATGAAATCTTTCTTTGTGGATAGTAGTTCCAGTAAATGCAAAGTCAGACGAATAAAAGATATTTTTAGAGGCACGACGACGTGAACGTTCTCGTCTTTCCCGACGCAATGGACATCGTTCCCCATACCTCATAGACCCACGGGATTTATAGAAATTTCCGATGAAATTTTCGCACTCGTGCACTCCGATAATTGTTATGTCTGCAGCTTTTTATTGTTCCACGCTCGCATATAACGTAATCTGATTTCTGTTTTCTGCTGCGTGGCTGCTGACCCTTGCCGACTTTTCTGACGTAACGAGGTGCGGTAGAAAAATCGCGAGATATCGCGGAATGGAAGGAACGTGTCGCGAATACAAGAGGGAAACGGGAACTAACAATGCAAAATTGAAAGAAATGTAGGTGGTTTGACGACTAGAGGAAAACAGTGGTGGGCCTCCTGGTGAACTAATTACTCGCCGACCACGTATTCTCTGCAAACATACCGAAATTCGGACTACGGGGCTAAATGCGTGTTCACTTCGGATGTTACTCTGCGCAAGTAGAAACGCGACTTGTTACGTACGCATGTAATAAGACGAAACGAAGTCAAAAGGGATTCATTACCGGCGTATCACTCGATGTCTGTGGGAACGTTATACGTTGTACACGTATATCGCGCGATAGTTGCTCGCGGCCGAACAAACAGCGCCAAGTGTAATCGAGATCTCGCAAATATTCCTGCATGGGAAACTGACGACGTCAGGAAATGTTAACGAGACGCCTCTCGGTTATTTGCTGATGACATCGCCTGCTTCGAGACATTGCTCGGCTCGCTATACCGTGAACGTCAACCACGCGTCCTTCTTAAGCCAGAAATGCTCGCAGTCGACTAACACAGCTGTTAAAATCATGTTACGTAAAATCGATTTGTTTAAAATCGTCTCAGTCGGTGAAACGAAGCACGTTCGGGGTTATCGAGTTTTATAAAACGCACGGAATTCTTGGGGTAACTTCCGACCGACGACTATCATTAATTAATTGAACACGAACGGGGAGGGGGAGGTTAATTCATTCGGTGTCGATGAAATTAAAAAGAAAAGCGTGGGCGGAGGAAAGTCGGTAGTTGCCCGGCGAAAGGGTACGGGCGCGGGCGCTGATCGAGCACCCGTCACTGGCAGATTTCTAACCGACGTTTTCCAATTCGCGCGGCCATTCACCGATCGACAAAAGCGCTGGCTCTTTTGCAAATTGCAAATTGCGCCCGGCGAGCCGGCCGGCCGACCCTCCGTGTTTCTCCAAGGCTGGGAAAAACGCAAAACCCGCCAAGCGATACTTTTCGTTCAATTTCCTCGAGATTCCTCCTGCATTGCGCGCCGGCTTTGATCTTTCGTGAATAACGCTAGTTGCTCTCTATATGTGTATATGGCCGAATCGCTTTGCGACTGCCCGAGCTTTTGCTATCCTTACCAATTAACCGGCTTCTGACTAGATTTCTGGCGATGAAGAGAAATAGTTAAATACACGGCGAGCCATACAACGGGTGATTCCTAGTAATAAATAGACTTCATGTATTTATATAAAAATTTATACAATTCTTAAATGCAATGCACAAAACTGAAAGCACACATGAACGTCGATGAAATTGTTTGGTGAAAACATTTCAAATTGATACGGTGAATGTGTAAATTGATACCGTGAATGTTTCATTTTGCAAACAAATCGGGAACTGTTAACTTACAAACATGCAGATATGTTACCGCATACCGAAGTACGCTGACGCGTGGAGTTTTTTAATGTCTACGACTACAATGTATAGAAAAATTCATATCCTATATTGATTTTCCTCATTTCAGATTTAATTTGTTAAATTCCATATTTGATTACAACTTTTCAGATTTAATTTATTAAATCGTGCTGCATGGCTCACCCTGTATGGTTCTAGTAACGAAGTGTGTAAAGTGAACGTCAAACACGTTGGAAGTTAGCCTAGCAGAATTTATATTCACTTTGATCCCTTCAAAACGGGGGAAAGCTACTTTCGTTTATTGTGAGAGAGGAAGATTTTATTAATTTTTTACTCGGTGAACCACCCCTTGGAAGTTGCCGCGTCTAAATAAATGTTAAAAGCGTTCGAGAAAGAAGGTAAAGGCTAGCAGAGTGTAAATTCCGTTTCCATTGCTTCGTTACGGGTTCAGTAGTTCTCTCCGCGTATGGTCGGACGGTCCGAGCTCGGCCGCATAGCCGTCGACATTGTTGATACAGAATCTTTCTTCCGTTAGAAACAGTATCCGTTATTATCTAACAGTCTGCGATGTTTCTATAAACTCATCTGTAAACGTTGGATGGCTTCGGCTTATGGGGACCGTCGCTCGTTCAAAGGTCCGTAATCGAGGCTTTGATCGCGGCGATCCGACGTGATTGAAACCGTTGCGAAACCCGTTTCGCGTGCAGAACTTGCCTTGCGTTTAAATAACAAACTTGCCGGATTCTCCCAACGGTGGATGTACCGAGCAACGCTCACTCGCATCGATATTCACGACAGAACAATATACCACCGGGTTTCTCGATATTGCCTTCCGACCTCCGTGTTTGTCTTACAAATAACTTCTTTCTTGTTTGCCACGACGTCAAATATTTGTGCCTTGTCCGTAACAAACCTCCGCATCGGTTAGGTCAGATATTAATGTAAGGGGAAAACCACTGGCGGCTCGACTCGGTCGCTTTATCTCGGCCGAGGTAAGAGGTCGATCGGAGAAAAAACCGTGTAATTTCCCGAGAAGATGGCGGGGCGACACTTCCAGTGCCTCTATTCTCTCCCTTTCTGTCTGTCTCTCCCTTTCTGTGTGTGTGTGTGTATCTCTCTCTCTCTCTCTCTCGCTCTTCCATTCGGTCCGTGAACTATTGAGAAAACTCCTTGGAGACGCATCGCCAAGGGCCAACGAGATCCTTGGCTCTGCGATCAGCTACGGTTTGATGCCCTTTGTCGCTCCTCTCTGCCTCCTCTTCCTCGTTTCGCTGTATCTACGTAGAGCCCTAGTTGCATCGTCGTCGAACCGCAACGACTTCTCGATTTTGCGGTCAGCCAATTAGACGACGGTTCAAAGAGATTGCGGTAAGGAAAATTTAATTGTCCCTCGTCCGTGATTGTCCATCGATAGGCTCTCAGGCCCAGATATAACTGAAGCCACTTTCCGACTCCTGTTTCTTACGCTTGTCCCCGATGCTTCTTCCGCTTTGAGACCTCGCCGAGTAGGAGATAATTGATCGTAAGCAAAAAGGGAATCGCTCCTTTTTGTACGGCATCCTGTGTCAATTTTTGCAGCGGCGAACCTCTAAGTAGTAGCTTATTAACGTAATACCCCGGCTACGGAAAAAACGAGGCGGGTCGGTTGTTACGCCCGGTAATGAATACCGTAATTGGCTTCTCCTTCGCGAAAGACCCGCGCCGTAGAAGTTTGTTCGTTGACAAAGAGAAGCCCCGGACACCGAAGATTCGTTATCGCCAACGCGCAGTAACAATTATACTCTGTTCCGTACAAAAGCTTCGCTTTAACGCTGTAATCATTCGGGAAATTAAGCTCTGCCTTCTCTTCCCTCGTTCGAACGAGCTTTCCAGTTCGTCCATCGGTGACGCCACTTTACGAGCTCTTTAGAAGCGTTCGATTTAAAATATACATGAAGGTTTTTCGAACTTAATGCACCGAGGAGAAATTACTAAAGAGTGCCAACTTTATGGGATTTTGTGTCCCACGAATTGTATTCGACCTTTTTTGCAAGTAATAGCAGTATCTAGAAC